CTAAAAGAAGAAACGAAGATAAAATTATTTGCCTCTAAATATATCTATTGGAGATAAATATTTATGTCTTTTTAGAATGCTTTAGAAGCAAATATAGATGACTCGAAAACAAAAACATTTGTATCCAATTCAATTATTAGAGATAGATACTATTTGCATATATATATATATATATATATATATATATATATATGGATACGACTCGTATGCTCCAGACGCATAGCATGCTCCAGGTATCCCAATAACGTTGATCTAATCTAACGGTTATTATTAAGACTAATAAAAATAATTAATTATTAATAATTATAATTACTAACTACATCTTTTAAATAATTATACGAGTACTAAAGTCCCTCAACTATTTTAACCATCAATTTCTACAATATAGTCACTGGCTTTTTCAATCATTATTAAGAAGACCCAAACTCTGAACTATGTCTATATTTTTATCTATTAAGAATTGCTCGATCGCTTCCACCATGTCAAAGGCTATGGTTTTAAGTTTAATTGGGGAACTTTAAATATCTCATGTGGTTCATTATCATCATCATTCAACGTGTGTTTCATAATAATAAAATTGTCCCCATGGTTACGATTCCTCCCGGCGTTTAGTTACACTTCTTCTGTGTTTCCGACCTGCATCAACTTCCTCCGGCCTGTAATGAAAAACGAAACAGAGAATTGGATAATTGCAGTTTGGAGATCGGATAATTGCAGTTGTCCCCCCTTCTCTCAGCGGAATTTTCCTGGACGCCGGCCTGTAATGAAAAACGAAACAGAGAAACGTATGCAACGTTGGAGATAGGGTAATTGCAGTTGCCCCCCTTCTCTCAGCGGAATTGTCGTGGTCGCCGGCCGGAGCTGAAAAACGAAACCGAGAAACGTATGCAACGTTGGAGATTGGGTAATTGCAGTTGCCCCCCTTCTCGCAGCGGAATTGTCGTGGCCGCCGGCCGGGAGCTGAAAAACGAAACAGAGAAACGGCAGAGGGAGATGTGGGGAAGAAGAAGAAGGGTCATGCCTCCCTAAACGGCGTCGTTCGTATATAATGTCATTGTCAGACAAAAATATTACCATCTATAATACAAAGCTTGTTTGATTTAGTTGACGTAAACCCTTAATAATACCATAAAAGATTATTCTTCCAGCAAATTAAGCTTCGCCTCACCATTCAGCTCCATCGTCGTTGTCGCCAGTTCCCAGCTCCAGCTGCGTCTCTCACCATTTCGCTCTGTTTCCCTGTCTATTTGATATCTCCCGAATTATACTAGATGCCTTCGCTCATGTTCATAAGCTTTTACGTATCATAGATACACCTATGTAATGTGAAACAATTATAGAGTGTAATTGAAAAATAAAAAAAATCTTCTTTAATTGTGATTTTGTGTATATACTATTAGGGATGGCAATTTACCAACCCATGGGTAATTTTGCCCAAACCCAAGTAGACCCATTTATTATGGGTAGGGTTTGGGTGATGTGTGTATGGGTTTGGGGTTTGTATATGGGTTTGGGTTAGATATGGATATTATTATCTAAATGGGTATGGGTTGGATATGGATATCCATTTACTTGAGGGTGTCTTAACTACCCATGCAAAAATTGGACTTATTTGTAAAACTTGAAAAATTTAGGTACCAAAATGTAAGACCAAAAAAATTTAGGTACCAAAACGTAATTTTCCATCGATATTTTGAGGACTTATATGCAAAAAAATTAAATTTAGGTACTAAATATGCATATCTATTAAGTTTAGGTACCAAACTGTAATTTGTATTTGGGCATGGGTACAAACCCAAATCCATTTGTTATAAACCCAACCCAACCCAAAGTAAATGGGTGTGGGTACAAACCCATCAAACTTTACCCATATCCATATATTTGGATTTCATACCCAACCCAATTGGGTTGGATAGTAAAATACCCATGGGTATGGGCATAATTGCCATCCCTATGTACTATATACAAATGAATTCACCATGATTCAGTGCTCGAACCAGGAACCACTAACCTACTTTTGCAAAAGGCACCACGTTCACCATGCTGGTTAGAGTCTTTTATTTGACACACCAACACCTTTAATTATAAAGGATTAATGGTTTATCCTAAAATTAAAGGCTAAAACTAAAACCGTATCTTTGTCACGTCAGCATCCCCATTATGTACCCTATCATTTGGAGAGATCATTTTCATCCATGAAACATATAAAGAACGATCGTCGAAACCGAATAAACGAGAATGGTTAAATAACGGGTTGGTGACATATATGATATATTTAACAAGATATGTGCACTAGTTTGGACATGGAATGTATTTTAAAATGCTGTCAGAATATGAAATCTTGTGACGGTTTGTTTTAAGTTGTGTATGTCAAACTATTAGTCTGTAATTGTTTCATGTTGACTTTTAATTTAATTTGGAGTATATTCAATACTTTGACTAATTGGGACCATCAATTATTATCTATTTAACTTTTGATTATATGAATATTATGGTTCGGGTTTACAGAATTAGGGATTCAGGTGAAACTATTAAAAATTACGGTAAAGTATTGCGCTTCAAATCTGGTTGATTCGTGATCTAAATAGCAAAACACGCGGGACATGTTCATAAGCTTTTACGTACCTAAAATACACCTATGTAATATGAAACAATTATAGAGTGTAATTGAAAAATAAAAAAAATCTTCTTTAATTGTAATTTTGTTGTATGTACTATATACAAACGAATCTCACCATGAAATGAAATGTGGTATTCTTCTATGAATTACTTTACACGAATGGGCTTATTATACTCACGGCGTATGAAACTACCAATAGTTAACTACTTGAGTGGACAAATAATTGACAACCAAAAGTCACATGTCTGAGCCCATTTAAATTGCACTGAACCTTGTGAAGCCAAGCACAGGCCTCAACTAGAGCAAACAACTAGAGCCCATATTACCCGGAGGAATTTCCACCACCAAATTTTTTATAGTAAGTGGAGTAGTGGAGTTTTCGGAAACCACCGATGTGGTACTTTATAGCACCATCTCCTCTTTCTCCATCTCTCTTGTTTTCTTGGTTGACCTGGCTAATGGCTATAACCTTCATCCAACTTAGGTTGATATTCCTTCTCCATTTGAAAGCCATGTAAGGCTATGGTCAGAATTCCAACCACAACGACAAAAAAGTAGGATACCATGAAAACATAGGATTGAGTTGGATTCTTGTTGTTCCAACCAGGGAATGGCATCTCAATTTCTGTATCTTCATCCATTTTTAACCCATTAGATATTCTTAAGTACTTTAAATACTCATGTGTTAAATTAGTTTAAGAATAACGAACTCATAGTTTAGTGTGCTTAAGAAGTGTGTGGTACTTAAATATTTTTATTTATTAGGCATGACTCGAGCTTGTTCGCGAGCCATCGAGCTGAGCATGGTATGGCTCGAGTTCGGCTCGTTTAGGTAACGAGCTTGTTCGCAAGCCGGCTCAGTTAAGACGAGTCTATTATCAAACGAGTTTTTCTCGAGTCAAGCGTCCAGCCGTTCATGAACGGCTTGGTTCATTAACAACCCTAAGTATATCTAGAAATATCAAATTTCTCATGATCAAAGAATTTTATATTTTCATTTGGGTCATCTATAAATAAGAATGGTGGATCAACTAAGAAACAATGAATCAAACAGAATCAAGTTAAATATGTTTGATATTATCAATTATTTCTCATTTGTTATAATTTTATACCCAAGTGAACCATTAATATCCTCACAATCATTAAATATCCAAACTAGGAATATTTCTTATATCGTAATTAGGTTGTAAACAAGTCAAGCTAACTCGAGTTTTCACCTAGCTCATACTCAAGAGTTCGGCCTCGAATCATTTACTAAAATTCAACACAAACTCGAATATTATGAGCTCACTAGCTCTACTTGAATCTATTTTAATAATTTAAAATGTAGTGCTTAAGATACCCTACCGGCCGTTCAGACAGAAAAATACATAGATCGAAAATTATCTTTTGCGTTATATTTGGTCGTCATAAAACCAATTTGCCTAAACCTAATTCATGGTGAACCTCCACCGCCATCATCCAAAATCGCCAACGCACATGGAAGTTGAAGTTCAAACTTGACAACGAACGACCAACAAACCCATATGAAATTAGTCGTTTACGCCATTTACTATAGTTTAATGGGATGTCATTTATCGTTAAATAACATAAGCTAATTATAATTTATGAAATAATTATGATACCAAAATAGAAAGGAAATTGAAGCAGAGTAATTGCTTATAATTTCCCGCTAATTTGAAATTAGAATAAAAGATACGGGAGTCAGAAAATCAAAACATTAAAATTCTCCCTCTTGTTTTTTCAGAAACCTTGTTTTCATCCGCCAAAATAAAATTTCATTTCTTCGCAACCCTTCCCATCCCACTGAAGCAGAAGAGCACAATTTCATTCTCTCTTTCCATTAATCGTTTGATGTTTCTGGAAAATCCGGTCGATTTGGAGTCTTCGAAGCTGGTCAACTTTGTCGGCGGCCAAAGGTGTGGCCTTGTCGATGAGCACGCGGAGCTTCAGATCTACGGTTTCTGGGATCTATGGCGGAAGGAGGGTTTCCTTCTGAACTGATTCGTCGCCGTTTTCTGGGGGCGGGACGGTGGAAGAGCTCGCTTAACGGCAGATCTCATTCCACGTTGCAGTTGTCGGAGACCATGGCGATAGACAAACAGACAGATTGAGGAAAGATAACTCCGATGCCGGCGCCGGGGGAGAAAAGATGCGGTAGTATACGAGCTCGTGTGACGACGGAGAAGGCTTTGATTCACTGAAAGAACCCATTACACGCAAGAAAGAGTCCTTCCAGAAACATAGAGAGGAAGAGGAGGCAAAGAAAAAAGTATGTGTTCGTTGTTTTGTCTAATTTTGGGCAGGTTTGCTTTATGTTCATAGAGAAATTCAAGCTACATGTTTCATATATGTGACAGAGGGAGGAGGATGAACATGAATTGAGGTGGTTTACAATACTGTCAATCTTGGCTTTTGGGACACTGCTGGTAAGTGAATCAGTTAACAATTTTGCTGCCATGAGCAATTTCCAGAGGGTGCTTAATGATTTGTGGGTTTAATTAAACTAATTTCAGGGCAGGAGGATTACAACAGGTTGAAGCCACTGAGCTACAGAGGAGCTGATGTGTTCCTACTGGCTTTCTCCCTCACCAGCAGAGCTAGCTACGAGAACATTCACAAGAAGGTACCCTGATTTCTCACGCTCTCAATCCACTTTCTGGGTTCTTTTTCATATTGGAATACGGTTTCTGTTCTTGAGATGATGATGAGCTGCTACTATAGTGGATTCCCGAACTGAGGCATTATGCACCAAATGTGCCCATTTTTCTAGTGGGAACCAAACTAGGTAAAGGCAATTACATTGTTGGCTCACCTGTATCAGTTTTTCATAAGTTTACTATAGTTGAATCAAGTAAAATACTTGATTTGGGTTCATGTGTTGCAGATCAAAGAGAAGACAAACAGTACTTAATTGATCACCCTGGAGCAGCTCCCATCACTACAACACAGGGAGAAGAACTGAAGAAAATGGCTCTTATCCAGATCCTTCAACAAAGTGTTCTTTTGAAGTACAAGTGAGTTACTTTGCTGTCTTTTTGGTTAGATGCCTCAAATGAATACTTAATGGGGTATGATTGATTATATTATATCATTTTGATTTGTAAAGTGTCGGTACTTGTGGTAGAAGTCAGCTGCTACAACAAACTATTTATGTCAATTGATCTCTACCCGCCAATGGTATATCATTGTCTTATAAGTAGTTGCCTCAAATTGTAGGTACGCCATTTCCTTTTTAAAAGATCATGGCAAAGAGGTGCATATTGAAGTTCACAGTGCATACATCTACACAATGAACAAGGTGAACTATTTTGTCTTGTATATTTTGGAGGGTCATGGTACCTGTTCCTGTATAGTTGCAATGGGGCAAGCAGGTTCTTTAGTTTTGATTCCCTAGCTCTGAGTTCTGCAGGTTCTAATTGCACATTTCTGTGCATACATTCACGCGTTGGAGAACTTGCAGTTATATTTAGCGACTTCTAGTGATTTGATTGGTGTGGAGACCAGAAGTGCTGGTTTGTTTTCGAGAGCCAGAGAGCCGCTGCAGACAAAGGACATGCACCACCCTTCAGTAATCAGCAAGATCTAGTTGTCGAGGTATCGCCAGAGTCAAACTGGTTCTAAGGAATACAAGGCACGTGCTGCAGTTGGTGTAAGTTTATCTCAACCTCTATTACATATCAATCTGGTCCCTATGTTGGATCAGTCTACTTATGTTAGATAAATTATGGTATAAATTTAATAACCAATCATATGCATATCAATCTCAGGCACCTCAAAGAGAAGATGAAGAAGACAACGTCATTAAAATCAAAGCAGCCTTGCAAAAAATGCACGAGGTATGTCCTTGAATAACTAAGAACTCATTTCTAACTCTCTATGTTCGTCAAACCAAAAAATAAACCGTCAAAGGCTGCACTTGTTGTAAATCAACCAAGCTAAAAGATTTTGTCCCATCAATTTCAATGAACAAATAACAAAAACTGAGTGCTTTTCAACTCCTTGCTCTGGATGTTGTTCAACTTCTTGCCCTGTCTCTGTTGTTCAACTTCTTGCCATGTCCCCTCTTCTGAAACATAAAAAACAAGATAGAAGAATATTGAAACTGTAACTTTTAGCAAAGGTTCTCATACAATATATACATTAGGCAAGAAACGAACACCGAAAATGTAAAATCCATAAAGGCTTTCATTTAATTCCAATACGATGCAATATATTAAATTAACAAAAAACAAACCTGTTGAGCTTTTTGAGTTTGACTTTCTGAATACTTAGTGGAAGGTTCAGCACTATGTCTCGTATGCTGCTTAGCTCCCTTCTCTTGTCTACTAGGCATAGTATTACTCCTAGTACGTGCCCTGAGCTGTCACAGGAGGACAACTTAACTCTTAAGCTAATAGCTGCTTCAAACAAATTGACAATTTGGTGAATAAACCAATGCTACTTAACCTTCTGCGGTGGCTGACTTTTTCCTACGGATTCTACAGTTGTATTATGCCTAGTGGTTCGCTGGTTCTGTAAAACCAAAATAACGACTTTAATTTATTGACTCTAATAATTATATCAAGAACACATAATCAGAGATGCTAATTACCTTTGGGGGTTGACCACCTTTGTCATCATCTTCTTCATCATCGTCTCCATCTTCTCCGTCATCTCTATCATCGTCCCCATCATTGTCCATGTCATCATCTTCATCCTCATCCTCCTCATCTGACTGAGATTCTATCACGTCGGCTGGGGGGTTAGTACAAGTGCTCCTATAATGCCCATCCCTTAGCCCGCAGTTTCCACACTTTCTTCTTTTTTTCTTAAGCTGTTTTTTCCCTTTTCCTTTCCTACAGCCCTTAAACCTCACTTGTTTAGGATTTAATACACCTTTGAACTTGTCGGGTATGACAATCCTTTCTCTCTCGGCGGGGGTTTTCTTTTGCATCTCCAACTTGTTGCATGCTGCTGTCAACTCCCCTTGAGCCAGACGATAAGAGTCAGGAGACTCTGCCCCCAATAAGCAGAATCGCATAGTGGAGAACTATAGTGACCCGTACCTAATACTGAAACTGCTGTCATCCCCCAATGAAACACGTTTTGGAAGAGTGGTTAATGACTTAGGGTTCTTTGAGCAACGTCGTAGTACAAGTTTTTCAGGAAAACTCTTCACCCTTTCTTCTTTCAGAACAAAGATCATATGAGCGCACGGTATTCCAATACTCTTAAACATTTCACAACTGCACTCCAAATCTTTCGTTTCAATGTTGTACTTCACCTCCACGGCCTTATCTTTGTTGAACATGGTTACAGTGTAGGTGTGTAAATTCCCCTCTTCAGTTTGCTTATCCTTTATGACTCCAATAACCTGCTCCAGCTCAGCTTTGAATTTTATAAATGCAGCTTTTGAAAAAAGCTTCGCTGCACTTTGTTCGAGGGGCAATAGGATTGTGTTCTTTACCGGAACTAAATCATAATTAGACTCAAAGTCTAATCTAACCTCTGTCTCCCTCATGTCTCTGATCCATCGGCCGTATTGAATAAAAAAGTCGAGCAAACTGATCCTCTCATGTCCATACCTAGCAACAACTGCATTCATGCTTTCACATCTTGATGTGGTTTTCAACCCAGCAAAAAAGTGGGAGCGCAAGTATGTGTCTGCCCATTCATTACATCTCCCATATAGGTTTTTCGACACCCATTGGTTGTTCTGGAGTTCACATTCCTCTACCAATGCATTCCACTTCTCCTCAAATTCACCTGGCTCGTAATCAGCAGTTACAAAGTGACTCCATCGGGGTTCAAAGTCTGGTCGGTTCTTCACCCTGCTAGTGATATTCTTGGACAAATGCCAAGCACATAGCCGATGTGTTTCATTTGGGAACACATTAGCAATAGCCTTCGTCATTGCTTTATCCCCATCTGTGACAACTGTATGTAGCGGATTTCCCCCCAACATTTCCTTCACTATATTCAACACCCAAGTATAGGTTTCTTCAGTCTCGTTAGGCAACCAGGCACTCCCAAATAAGCAAGTTTGAAATGATGATTGATACCTGCATGGTCAACCAGAAACTCGAAAAAATCAGAAACTTTTGTTACTTAAGTGATATTAAACACGAGTCTGAAGCCTACAATAAATTTTCAGTTTGTGTACATTAAACCTGTTGATCTCTCCTAATTCTTTGTTGCATTTTCAGTATGTTCTAATGAAGTTCATAGTCCCAACAAAGAGGAGATATGAAGAAGTACACATTATGACGTTTCTCACTTAATATATCCGTCATTAATTAATGGCTCTACCTATCTGCTCAAAGCATTTACCTAATTACTCTCTTGTTAAACCTCTTCCAAATTTTGTTGCTTCCACTGGCCTCACTTCCCCAAATTTAAAAAGCTTATTAACATGGAAGGACCTACTCAACTGCACCAGCTCTATAATAACACCCTGACCATTCACCATAACACATGAGAAAATCCAATTCCATTCAAAAATTTCCAATCATTTGAAGGAGGAAACAGAACATCAAAACCAACCGATCATTTCAACAATTTGTATCTTAGTTAGCAGTTTATGCTACTGTTTTTTGGATGACATTATGTGTCTTCAAAACATAAAGAAAAGGGTAATGTTAAGAGGGCATATTAGAATGGCGTACCTGTGAAAATAACCAACGACATATTGTAAATGTTTTTTTTTGTATGTTGTGTCAAATGCGAGCAACTCTCCAAAACATGAAATGTCTGCTAGGCTAATGCTGTCAGCCCAAAATAAACTATGGAGCGCGTTTTCCTCAGTAGTGCATCGGAGGAGGAAGTTTGGGTCTGTGCTTTTCTTTGATTCTAGATAGGCGAGTGTCGTTGCTGCATCGCCCTCGCTGATCCTTTCAGCACGATCTCTGGCGCAGAAGTTTAACCCATCTCTGACTGTATAGCCAAGTTTGTCATGCCCTCCAGCACTATGCATAGCTAGCTTAATCGCTTGGGATGGTTTCATCCCAGCATCCTTTTTAAATCGAAGGTCTGCCTTGTCTGCTTCTGTTAACCCTCGATACGACCGCAAGTGGTGTGTCCATTTCTGCGGTAGTGGTTCATGAGTGTGCTGTTGGATAAATATATCCACAATCCACTTCGAATCTTCATTGTTTAACTTCACACGAAACTTAGCTTTGCATTCAAATCTAGTTAGCATGGGCGACTCTCTCTTTTGTTCACCTTTGTGTGGGTTTCTATGTCCCTCACAGGAACAGAGAAAGGTTGTGCTTGTAATCTCACGCTTACTGTTCCGAAATGTCTTCGACCGCCTAACAGAAAAACCCCATTCCTTTGCATAGTTGTTGTAGAACGTATATGCTTCCTCTATATTATTGAATACCTGACCGATAAAAGGTGGATTTTGAATAACAACTTCTGGTACAGTCTCTTCTGCAGTAGGACCAGTAGCGTTTGTGGTCCCTGTTTCTTGTAAGATTTCAACGTCACTGTCCTCCATGTTGTTGTTATGATCTCCATCTTCCTCCATTGTTTTGTACCTTTAAGTTTCTTCTAGTTTGGGGGATCGGCAGGAATGAAGAGAAGCGATTGTCTGATCGTTAGTCCTTCTAGGTTTATTTATATGAGGTGTATGTGTGCTATTTTAAATACATGAAGGGCTAGGTTATTTTCTCAAGGGCTCGGTTATAAGGGCCTTAATGGGCTTAAAATTCTGTCCATCTTTAAGAGTTCTTTCATGTTAGGCTTCGCTTTGCTATTTACATCAGTATTTATGGGAAAAAGGATTTTATTAACCGATCTGCTTTTGGTGGTGTTATTGCGTTTATATTTAGCCGTTGTGGCTGAATAGTTTCTCTCTGTGCTTTGCGTTCAATTATTTGTAATGGTTGTAACCTTATGATAGAACTAATTAGGACTCTGAAACTTACTCTTATTTCGTAGAATCAAAAGATTGTTACTCATCCAAATTTCTGCTGCGTTTATATTAGAAGAAACGGGACGGGATGAGGAGGAAGAGAATGATGGCGGTGGAGGTATGGATGCAGATCGGGTTGATGCTTCCACTGATTCTCTAAACAATGACCGAAAGCAGTTGTTAATGGGTGATAAAAAGGAGAGAATGAAAAGAGAGAAGAAGAAGCAGCGTTTGTTAGAGGAAACCACAAAGGCTGATAGGCGTGGCGTTTGTTATTTGAGCCGAATTCCTCCTCATATGGATCCTGCAAAGCTCCGTCATGCTCTATCACAGTATGGTGAAATCAACAGGATCTATCTTGTACCAGGTGATTGAACTTTTTTGCACTTTGATCGTCTTTTCATTTTTTGCTTGTGTTCATTATCTTGTACCAGCTGGCCTGGCCGTTCATTTTTTGCTTGTGTTCATTATGGCCTTCCCTTTCCACTTTTCTTTCTAAAAGGAAGAAAAAAAAAAAGCTTGTCATTCCACTGAAACAGAATCCTTTCATTCTCACTTTCCATTCTCCTTCTCCGTTTGATGTTTCGAGATAATCTGGTCGATTTGGGGTTAGCGAATCTGGTTCACTTTGCCGGAGGCCAAAGCTTGCGCTCGATCTGCATGACGATGAGGACGCGGAGCGCCAGATCGCGATTTCTGGGATCTATGGCCTATGCATCTTGCATAATGAATCAGTCGAAGAACGTAAGCTTCTGAATCACTACACTTCATTGCCTGTTTTTAGGGTGTTTCCGTGTGTGTCTGTCATAACCGTTGTCACTGAACGGCCAGGCCAGCTGCGATTGGGAGTTTAATAGTATCCCTCTGCTTCTTTCTGCTTCCAATAGCTAGTCTCATCCCGTTTTGTAATCTGATTTCTGGGGATTTCTTTTTGCAGCTGAGGGACGTTCCCGGCATATTGCTGTACAGACTAGAAGGCTTGATGTCGTTCTAGAATGAGGCTCTTGGTAAGAGAAAAGTTCAAGTTGAACTTTGAAGGCACTTGTTTGTAGAATAGTGTAGCTTTGTTTCATGAAATATGATCCAACAGACAAGGTAGAATCTTTCTTCCAAAAGGTTTCTGGTGTTATTTTTTCATTATGATTATGGAGATAGAGCTCGATCTAATAGGTTAACAACTTAACATGCATGTTGTTTCTCCCAAACAGGCAAAAATTGCTTAAGTGGCTGATCAAGCGGCTTCATGAGTCTCCAATGCTTGCAGTTTGAATTGACAGGTTAAATTGCAGTGCCCATTGAACACCCTTCAATCGCATCAGCATGAGATTTGCTGTAACCTTTTCTTTACTCCACGCCAAACTTGACATTGTATTTACTCTCCAAGATTGCCAAATTAATTATATGATTGGTCTGTTGAGGGAAATTCGGATGGATATCCTTGTGTAGCTTCATCACTTGCACTACTGTAGCAAGCATCCTTATGGTAATTATAGATGATTCACTCAACTATTTTTGTTTTTCTTTTGTTTGTTGAGTGCAGCAGTTTGGGGTTGTCTTGGTTCAGCTTTGGCGGACATTCTTTTTCTTTTCGCTTGGATGATTCCTCGTAATCCTGTTGTTTCTTACTTTGGCTAATATTAGTTTTCCATCCTTAGAAAATAAATACATAAAAAACACTGATATACTTGTTCTTCGAAATGTTCAGGTACTACGCTGTGCAGAATGTATCGGCACTATGGAGATTGGCTATCCGCAGTGTAAGCATTTCATAAAGATGGCGATGTGGTACCCAGGAGCCATCCATCAAATATCGAAATGAGTTACTGTCACTATGATGCATCGGTCATTTGGAGTTCTTTTTTACCAGGAATCATTTGTTCTTCCTCTGTCCTAGCTCGACTGAAGTTCTCAAGTAGAGCCTAGGGCTGATTAACAGAGTTTGCCATCCATGCTGTGATTTCCAGGAATTCTGTAATTGGGTAGTGAGAACATTCAAGGGTAAACAAGCTTCTGTAAAAATTGTGAGATTGATTTGGAATCTAACTGTAAGTATTCTGTGGAAGGAAAGGTGCAAGAGGTTATACAATGGATATTGGAGGTGTTTGTGATCGAAAGTACATGGTTTCTGAAAATGGATTCTAACTTTAATGGGTATTTCTTTGCTTTACTTATTCTTGTGTCACTATGCTACCATTACCACGTACATATATAAGTACATGGTTTCGGTTCGCAATGTTGGTCGAGTAGTTTGATAAGGTTTGGGGGTGTCGTTCATCCACCAAGATCACTCATCATTCATGTATCCAGAGAACTCGTCCGGCAACAACATGTGTTGGCATGCACCTAAGCTTCCCACTTGTCTATGTTCTACAAAGCAAATAGGTTTGAGCTTAACCAACACCAAACACAAATCATGCAGAAACTTAAATGACAGAATGCAACAAACTAAATGAAAAGAAACATGAAATGGAATTCAATAACAAACTTTGCCTAAAGTACTTGTTGTGTAGTATAAATAGAAATAGTTTGTTCTCAAACTGAACAATGGGCAATGTACCAAAATAAGTGAAAATCCAAAAAAAATTAAACATAAGCATCACCACCAAAACGCTCAAGAACTCCGAAAACGCATACTTAACTAGTTCATCAAAATCCAAAAAAACTTAAAAATATGCATCTCCACGCATGACTGCCATGTCCTTGAGTATTTTTCCATGTCGTCGAGTGTTCATGAGCATGTCGATTCACTTTCTCCAACTTAGCATTTTTAGGCCCACCAACCAAGTCAAGAGCTAGCCTCATTCGATCCACATCGCCACATGGCTGTGTACAGAAGATGAAACCAAGTAAACATTTAAAAACAAAACTTGCCATTCAATTGTGAAACAAATATCATTACAGAACAAGATCCCTTACCCCAACATCATAGCGTACCAGATTATCTGAGAACCTCATCCATAAGCAAACCCACATGCCAACATCAAATCTAATACAAATAGCTACTTCATAAGTTTATGTTAAAAATAAAATTTCATAGTGATATCCAAGAATTGCGTTATCCCTTACTTGTTTTCTTGTGTAGGAACCCCATCTGGACTAATCACTTGAAAGCCACGGATGTTTGGCAGATCCTTTGTTGTACCCAATTCAAAGTACAACCTCCGAAATAAATCATATAAAAAATTCATCTGCAAAATCATCTAAAGATTACTCAATCGAAGAAGAAGGAATATAAAATATATGAATTATAAAACTACACTAGTTTGCTAACCATATGGCGTACGGTCTTTGCACGAAACTCATTGTTGTTTGCCCTAGGAGCAGAGTCAACCAAATGAACTTCTTCTAATTCCATCATCACCACAGCCAGGTACCAATGCTTACCATCCTTCAATGGTAGATAGATCTGCCAAGTATTGACATAAAGATTATTACCATTTAGCAAAAAAATGGGAAAACATCTACACATTACTGATTGAATTGTTAATGAGTTACCTTATTGCATCCATAGGCATTGGGTAAGTAGCTGAATCGATAATCATTGAATACACTGTCAGCAGTATAGACATAAATCTCTAATCCTGCCTACAAGTTCAAATTTGGAATTTAATAAGTGAAAATCATTATGTATAAAGGACCAATCTAAAAAATTATTACTAGTGATCCATATTTGATTACCTGTATATCAGTAGGGAGAAAGCACGATTTGCTTTCAATTCTACGTTGCTTATCATACATGACAGAGAGGTTGAGATACCATGCATACATTGAAATGACCTTAAAAAACAGACAACATAATTATTTTTAATGGATATTTAAAACATATACAAAAAGTTAAAGACAGAATTTACCTCATCTTCTAGGTACTCGTTAGGCAGCAAGCTCAATAGTGAGCTACGAGTACAGGACTGGGAACCATTTTTTACTAGTATCTTTTCGGTAGCAAGATCTTCCACGAACATGTAATAGGCCAGTCCAACCTCTTCTGAAGTCAAATGCATGTTAATGGTGATAGGAAACTTCATTACAACCTGACACAAAAAAGTCAAATACTATAAAATCTGATATGCTGCCTAATACTAAGCATTTATGTAACAGTACCACGACTACCTCAGATATGGTTGTCACATCAGGCTCGTCATCATCAATGATAATGACTTCAGAAATTGGTGTCGCATTGACGTCTCTGAACTCAAGCCTCCTCTTTGTAAGGTTGCGGGAACCACTCTGTCATTTTTTAGCAAAGGATAATAAAGAAAACTTGGTATAAAGTCTAATTAGTTATTTTTAATGTGGGTCACTACCACTGTATTATCATTACAGGATAAAAGAGATATACAAATCAAGGATCACTGTATTTGAACGAAACCTAAACAAAATTAGAAAGTTAGCAAGAAAGCTAATGAGCGACAACCTAAGAAAACAAGACAATGACCCACCAAACTAGATGACAAAGCAATGAACAAAAAAAAAAAAAAACAGACGATGATAAGCCAAAAGCAATCAAACCATGAACATAAAAACAGAAAAACTAGATGACAAAACAATGAACAAACAAACCGACAATACTAATAGTGAGCAACAACTACGCAACCAGAAACAACCAAACCATGTGAAAAAAGCAGGAAACAATATGATTAAAGGTGTGTAGAGCATAAAGGAAGAAAAAAAAAATAAACTCTTCAACTTCTCAAACCTTGCGTTGTGAAGAATATTTCGTCATTTTTGCTCTACTTTCACCATCAATACCTTTAGCCAGCCTCTTGTCCCTAATTTCAATTGTCATACAAACAATTATCAGCAATAATAAACACAAATAAATCTGGGCAACGATGGATTAGAACTAACACAACAGGAGCAGAAGAGAATCGTGAAGGAGGTAAAATAGCAATGGCCATTACCCAATTTTTGGATCCATGGTTCGGTAGAACTTTCAATAAGAGGAGAACACGGTGGAAAAACTGCAAAACAAAATTTTATATAGGTTTGTGTAAAAGCCAGCAGCTAATCTAACCTCACAAAGACGAAACATGAAAAAAATTGAGAAATTGGATGATAACGATCTAACAACAGCAGAGGGAACCTTAGTCGCCTAACACAGATGGAAAGCAAGGTTGAGAATATCGCAGAAAAAAGAAGGCAAAAACACTTATAAAGAAGGCAAAATAATGGGGTATTCATCCAAATAAAGGAACTTCCTCTTTCTCTAACTAAACAGGCTTACTAATTAAATGATCTTTCCTTTTATTTTGCAACCATGCAACCTAAGGGTTGTGCATAGTTGTGCTTAGCACCCTTTGGTTTGTTGACACGCTAAAACACAACACCAAACTGCGACCAAGTGTAATCGGAGCCCGGAAATGCAGTAAAGTGGCAAGTTCTATTTATCAACCCGGGGTCTAGATCTGCTACCTACTCCGTGATGATTTATTATCTAGCAAAGTAAGTTGATTGAATGTGGTTTTAAGCAAAAGCAGTAAGAAAGCAGGAAATGGTTCGAAGTTCTTAAGTAGGGGAAGAGTCACTCGGGAATGAGTCCCCCTAGCTCATTAGTTAGGTCAAATTTGTAATTACCCTTGCTTGATTTACTATTGATTAAACTGCGAAAGATCCGACAGTAGCTTGGAATCTCTTAAGCTTACCAAGCCCTCTCAGACAGACTAACCGGCAGGCGACTAGCCTTCACTGGGATAGACTGCTGAGGCAATAAACACAGAACTCCACTACCGGAATTGGATTCCAGTACAAAGCAGTAAATCGATTAAATCTCGTATAACCAATTTACTACTACCGATTAATGATGCTCTAACAACCTAATCAGATTCTATCTATCTCAGGTTGCAGCAGAAATCAAGAAAAGATGATCAAGCTTCAATTGACTCAATGAATCATGCATCAATCGATTATAATCAAGTAGTATATCAATCCAAAGTCATTACAATCAAGATTCCTAACACATGGAACTAGGGTTCTTCATACCCAAGCGAGAGTTCTGCTCCATAGAGAGAGAGAGAGAGAGAGAGAGAGAGAAAGAAAGGGGAAAACAGAAATTAGAGCAGTCATACTCATAAAGATGGGGATAATCTGCTCTAGGACGTCGATCTTCACTCCTAGGGATGCAATCTGGGCTTCAATGGTGAGAAATCCACTCCAAATAGCTCTTAGGGTTTGTTCTTCGCACTTTTCTCTCTCTAAAACTCTGTTTTCTGCTCAAAAAGTCGATTCCCTCTCCTTTGGCTCGAATCTGCCTAAAAAACCCACTTCTAGGCAAAACACGGTCGAAGACACGGCCGTGTTTTGCCTCATCCCGCCCGTGTTTTGCTTCAAGCAAAGCAGGCACGCCCGTGTTGCTTCCAAAACACGGTCATGCTCCATAAGTGACACGGCCGTGTTTCCCTCCAGTGTCGCCCGTGTTTTGGCTCTTCAATAGCCGTCTTTACACACCCTCGGAAGTAAAAACATGGCCTGAGGAACACGGTCGTGTTTTTGTAAGGGGTGCCCGTGTTTTGGCTCCATCCTCACCGAACGACCTCCAAGCGACCCGAAACTTGTGCCCATGCCTCCCTTTACTCGCTAGGACCTGAGATATGACAAAACAACACAACCTAGTGTAAAATAGGCCAAGGAACCACAAATTCGAGCTTAAACGGTCGGGAAACAAGGGTGCAAACATGTGCAAATACGACACTATCATTTGTTCATGTTGGTGCTAGCAATCTAAACCTTAACCTAGCTTAGAGAGGAAAATCCCCCTTCTAAGGGAGACTCAATCGAGTCGGTTTTCCTTCAGCTTTAAGCCACCTAACTAGGTTAATTTAGGGCAACCCTCAGTGTTGAATTAAGCAAATAGGTTAATCATGATTAAGCCGTCCGACCTTTGAGTTGAGTGAGGGAGTAAGTCAATTACCGATTCCCTAAACCAAGAGGGTCAAGTTACACGGCCTTTAATGTTTGCCTCAGTTTAGCAATTGAGATTTTGGTCCCCGACAATCGTTCCAATTCACATATCATGGTAGTAGTTAGGGGGAAGCGACACCCGATTGATCCTTCCACAAAAGAGTTTTCGAACCCATTTACCTTTCTTTATTTTAGGGTAATGTCTATATTTTATCCAAACCATATTCGGATTCTTTTTTATTAGCCAAACCTATCGAAAAACTAAGAATTAGCCAAATGTGATCTTTTAGTTAGTAATTTTGTTAGTAATATTGACTTGGCAACATGATATTAACTTGGAAGAGACACATGAAGGTCAACATTCCAAAATATTATTATTTTAACTAAGGAAAAAGTTACAAAATCAATAACGATAACGTAAAAATGGTTAATATTTTCGAAGAATCCGAAAAAAGTTTGGATAAAAATTAGACATTACCCTTTATTTTATTATAATTAGCAAACTTTTAGACCAAAACTTTGTTGCTAGATAATGATTTCAACAATTAAAGTAGGGGTGGACGGACCGGTTCAATCATTGAATCATATGTCTATAAACAAGACATTTGGAGTTCAAATCCTCCTTATTGTACAATTTGGACTCGGTACATAAAGTTCGTACTCGTGCAAGTCTTGTCATTATGACAAAATTAAGCGGTTTATGTGTTTATATGTCTAAACCAATCAATGAATCCCATGGCTATGAACATTACAAGACATTTGGAGTGCAAATCCACCTTATTGTACAATTTGGACCCGGTACTAAGAGTTCGTACTCGTGCACGTCTTGTCATCATGACACAATTAAGCGGTTAATGTGTTTATATGACTAAACTAAACAATGAATCACATATCCTTGAACATTACAAGACATTTGAAGTGCAAATCCACGTTATTGTACAATTTGGACTCGGTAATAAGAGTTTGTACTCGTGCACGTTTTATCATTATAACACGAATAAGCGGTTTATGTGTTTATATGACTAAACCAACCAAGAATCATATCCTTGAACATTACAAGACATTTGGAGCGCAAATCCACCTTATTGTACAATATGTACTCTGACTAGGAGTTTGTACTTGTGCATGTTTTGTCATTATAACACAATTAAGTTGTTTATGTGTTAATATTACTAAAACAATCACTGAATCAAATGTCTATCAACATTACAAAACATTTCCAGTTCAAATCCTCGGTATTGTACAATTTGGACTCGGTACAAAGACTTCGTACTCGTGCACGTCTTGTCATTATGACACAATAACACGATTTATGTGTTTATATGACTAAACCAATCAATAAATCACATATCCCTGAACATTACAAGACATTTGGAGTTCAAATCCTCCTTATTGTACAATTTGGACTTGGAACAAGGAGTTCGTACTCGTGCACGTCGTGTCATTATAACACAATTAAGCAGTTAATATGTTTATATGACTAAACCAATCAATGAATCCCATGGCTATGAGCATTACAAGACATTTGGAGTGCAAATCCACCTTATTGTACAATTTAGACCCGGTACTAAGAGTTCGTACCCGTGCACGTCTTGTCATCATGACAAAATTAAGCGGTTAATGTGTTTATATGACTAAACTAACCAATGAATCACATATCCTTGAACATTACAAGACATTTGGAGCGCAAATCCACCTTAGCGTACAATTTGAACTCGGTACTAAGAGTTTGTACTCGTGCACGTTTTGTCATTATGACACAATTAAGCGGTTTATGTGTTTATATGACTAAACCAATCATTGAATCACATGACAATCAACATTACAAGACATTTCGAGTGCAAATCATCCTTATTGTACAATTTGTACTCAGTACTAAGAGTTTGTACTCGTGCACGTCTTGGCATTATGACACAATTAAGCGGTTTAAATGTATATATGACTAAACAATCATTAAATCACATGTATATCAA